TGTCATTGTATGGCTTGTCATTGTATGGCTTGTCATTGTATGGCTTGTCATTGTATGGCTTGTCATTGTATGGCTTGTCATTGTATGGCTTGTCATTGTATGGCTTGTCATTGTATGGCTTGTCATTGTATGGCTTGTCATTGTATGGCTTGTCATTGTATGGCTTGTCATAGCTCATATTTTCAAATGTACCTATTCTCACCCTGTATTTTGTTAAAGGAATAAACAGATTTCTCATTTGTTTACCACTTTCTGTACTTTCAGAGTATTAAGTTTTGAACATTTTTGTGTGGGTGTTTGTTTGCTTGTATGGTAAGAATTTCTTTTCCTTAACCAGTCCACACACTGGTGAACCATCAAACATGCCTGGGTTTGGCACTGCATTGACCGGTGCACTGTCCCAGTCCAAGGAAAATTCCCTGCTGGGTCGAGGCGCTTAAAACTACCCCTACAAATTCTTTCAAAAAGGGGTCTGCATGGGCCAAGAAATGTGGGATTGTGTAAGTATGGTTTGGGATCAACTTCCTAGATTCAAGGGCTCTCATCCGGGGGGTAAAGCAGACAAAAATGTTACTGAAATATTGTCGGAAAATGTCAGGGGATGTCATTTGAAAAATGGTTGCTGAGAAGACTTGGGAACATTCACATTTTTGAGGGTGAGTTTGATTTGGGCAGATAATTAAAAATTTTATTGGTTAACCACTAAAATTTGAAAATCAAATGAAATTTAATTTGAAGGACCGAACAACACATTTTTTGTTTGAGGGGTCCTCAGGGACTTCAGTTAGCTGCAATGGGGCTCTCAACTTCGCTGACTTTACACTGTTTTCAATGGACCTTGAATTAGCGCAGTGCACCGTATAATGGGACAATTTCTTCTGATGTCCTTAACAACGGTTGTGCCCATAAGAAGTATTTCTTATAGGTAGTGTCCCCACAACCATGGTACTTGTCCCTGTTGCCTAGTAATCTTTCTTCCTATTCACAAGGGCTGATTGGTTAAATTTCTGTTTGTTCCCTATCTCATCCTCAACCGGATGTATGTTCTTGGTACTTATCTCTTTTCTCAGTCATGGGTTTTTGTATACATATCGGTGAAGTTTGTGGAAGTAAGCTGTGTGCTGCAACTTGGCCAATGTACAACTGCCTGCAAGCCTGCATAGTAGCAACTACGGCCCAATGTCAGGGCCTCGGTATGTTGCAAAATCTGAAACTATGGTGAGGACTATCATGTAAATGTCATGACTCTCGAAAGTCGCTGTGTGGCATTCATTAACATCAGGCTGTTGTTTATCTTTTCAAAACGTGTTTTTTGGCCAAAACATTCGTCCACAAGTAGTTAACAGCATGAAGCCAATAACAAACAATAGTCAAAAGATATCACTCTAAAGATATTTTTCAAAGTTATATTGGAACCAAATTTCAAGGTTGTATATTAATTGATGTATTTATGGGGTCCTAGTAAAAACAGTACACGTGTGTTTCTTCCAACAAGCCAGTTTGGTACTGCAAAAAAAAACAAGGTCGTTCAGGAACAAAGATGTTGATGGGAAGACCTTGCATAAGATGTGACCTCAGACACGATTCACTTTGGGCATGTACTGTTGGAATACTGAACTGGTAAGTTACATTGCTAGCTATCATACATGCAGTAGTCCTCAACTACGGTGCAGTTTCTAGACTACGAGATCAGTCTCCCAATTTAAATTAAAATCTAATGCTCAAAAGGTTAAAGCTCAAAATCTAAATTAAAAGGTTGGTATATGTGGCAGGATTCACAAAGTGAGTCTCCAAGCCATATTTCAGCATTTTAGAGTTTAGTTCGCATTAGAAAAACAAACTAAGTGCTGCAGTGTGTATTGATACATCACTCAGTCTGGTATCCTGATAGAAATGAACATTATGTGGGTGAAAAAATGTTGCAGGTTCCTACTGATTTACAATGAGTAAGATTCTTTTCAAAGCCTTTATCTCAATGTTGGCTCTGCTAACTTGTGACTCGTTTAATTGGCTTGGGTCACATTGGTCCCTGGGACCAACTGTCAGACTGCAGACAGACTTTAACCATAGCAGATTCTTTACTAAGGCCATCATGTCCAAATTACTTAGCTGAGACCTGAACTTACAACTCAATGGAAAGATTGGCTGCAGCCATTACCTATTAATGCTCATGCGTAATTTTAAACAGCAGCCAAGATGTTGGGACATGGCCGAACATCTACTCATTAACCAGTTAATACCATTTGAAGGAATGATTCCCGTAGTTTTTGCACACTGCATGCAATGTGTCAAAATCCTGATCTTCCTTTAACCCTAACAGTCCTGAATCAATATGATTTTACATACACTCTACAGGTTGTTAAGCAAGGTCCTGCTATGACCTATAACTGGCAAGATACCAAACTAGTGCCCTTACCGGTGGAGCTATCCAATGTTATATGTGTTCAATAGCCCAATATGGCAACTAGAAACTGAGTTTACAGTGTACGATCAATGATTTCCTAGAGATAATCTATTTCACCTGTGCTACTGCACATGCCTTTACACAACAGAAATGTACATTATTGGTAAGGGAGTGGTAAGTATTTTCGTCAGGGTCGAGTTTATGTACAATTCTTAGAATTCTGTTTGGAAAATATGTTATTACTCTTACAAGTTGATATTACGTATATTCACAGTGAACGAGTTACAAGAATGTCCAATGAACACACACACCTCCCTGTCTGAATTGATGAAATGATCGAAAGTCGTTAACAAATTACAAGTACTTATATGTGTGCTGATGGCTATATATTCATGGTAATATACTATAGTAATTCATCAAGCAATATGTTCATACTATAAATAATATATCACATATTTTATATATCCATATTGCCCCCATGAATAGTAATCAGGGCAAGGGTGCAGTTCTGCAGTGAACATTTTAGGGATTATTGTGTTTAGGAAGTAACCAAGTTTTTCTAAACGCTGCATAAATTAGTACATATTTCATGATTTGCAAGTTTCCTTTTTTGTGAGAGTTGCCAGTCAGTGTTTTATTGCATACTTAACCTGTGTCAGCATGCATAACAGCTTTGAACAGAAAATCCAATTATGACCAGTGTCTCTACACCGCGTCTTGTTTGTGCTACTTATATAGGTATCACATCAACACCCACAATGAACGGTGCCATGAGTGTGCTTGTGCCGGGCACTTTCAATATCATGAGCGTAATTTTTTCTCCTGTATGCACTGGGAATGGATTCATGCCAAAAAATGTCCACCAGTTGTCAGTGTGATGCCATCCAGGACTCGGGGAACCAATCAGTTCCGAGAAAATAGAACTTGGACCAAGACCGAAATGTATTATCAAGCCTCTAGATGTCTGTCCATGGCTTATGCCTACATCATTGAACACAAATGTAAAAAACTACTTAAAAAGTGCCACATGAACGACTAATCAAGCCAGGCCACAAATTGAGTGAGTTTGTTCAAGTCCTTTCAAGGCAGTTTTGCATGAAAAAGCCCAATGCCTATAAAATAATGTAACCACGAAAAGAGATCAACAAACTGTTGGTTTATACTCAGTGTCTGCTCATTGGTTAAGAGATGCCATGTGGCCTAGTGGTGATTAAGTTTTTGACTCCTAACCAGAGGGTCCAGGGTTTGAATCCCGCGACTGGCCACAGATTGCAGCCTCACACAATTCACTTTGCCCCCAACTTGCCTCTCTCCAACCAGGAGTATAAAATAGAAGGCAGCTTTAGCAGAAAAATAACATGTGATGGACTAGCACCCATTCACAGAAACAGAAAGATTCTCAGTTGTTTCATGCCAAGGAAACTGGAGATAAACCACTAGCCTGATGAGCCTGACTGCTCTGGCAAGACTTGTTTTATTAATGGTCATTAGTGACCACACTGGCCGTGGGAGCCCCTTGGAAAAAAAGCCTAGGAGTCATTGAACCAATATGAACGGGGAATATCACATCTTGTGACGTGCACACATTCCCAGCAGTGAAGCCTGACACAGGACAATGAAATTTGTTTATACAAGAAACCGACTTTTACCAATTGTAATCCTTGTCAAAAGTAGAGCAAAGTTTGTGACTTGAGCAAGAGACAAGTTACACACAATGCTATTGACATAGGAACTGACAACTCAAATGCTTTTTCAATAAAAAGTTTGGGTATCAATTTCCCCACCCTATGTCACAGCTCTGTTTAAATGCATCACCATGGCAACACACTCAGTTCAGTTCAGACAAGAACTATAAATGAATGTAAGGTAGAAATTTGACTGGTTGCTTGTCATCAGTTCACTGACAACGAGCTGCACGAATACAATTGAAACATTACTCTCAACTACACATGTACAAATTCAGATTTACTCAGCTAAATACAAAATGGGTTGAATACAAATCCATGTAGACGAGTAAACAGAGACACAGTGGAAATCAACATTTATCATCCAGATTCTTTGTACTTTACAAAAAGAATTTGACGTACATGTATATTCAGGACAGGGAATTTGTAATGATGATGCACACTGTCATGTACTCATACAGACTAGGCACTTGGGAGGGAAAAATATGTTTTTCTCTCTTTTTTTAAATTTCATGTTTAAATAGGGCAACAGAACCTTCATGCAAATGCTACATAAATTAAAGCTGGGAAGATATTGTGTTTTTAAGAAACCTTTTTCAAACTTTATATCGACCCACAATTGTAATACCAGTTAATTATTTCTCATGTGCATATGACAGAGCCCTAAGAACATGCATTTATGAAATCCTACATTTTGTTTCAGTTCATGTCAGACATCCATATCAACATATCCCATTTTTGTGGAATAACTGGGTATTCTTGCATCTGAGTCAAAACTCTCCAACATAATGTTCTCAAGTGCTTAAGTTGGGTGTGGCAAAACACAATGTTTGGCATCAAGCAGTGATTAAAACACCAATGCATTAAACTTCAACTACAAGGAATGGGGAGAGTAAAGCTATCCATAAAATGTCTCATTACAATGCAAGCGCCTAAAAACACTCCGTTAACAGTGCATTTTCTGAACTTCTTTAGTACAGAAGAATACGTTTCTCCACGGACTTGCGACAGATGGGGCACTCCGACATGCGATCTCCACACAGTTGGCAGGTGCCGTGGCCGCACAAGAAGATCATGTTCTTGATCCGATCCAAGCAAACGGGACAGACAGTCTGCAAAGGTCAATGCCACGGAAGGAATGACAGTGGTTAGAAGTACATTTGGGGTGTATGTGGGTTTCCCACAGAGGACAGACACATACAGGGAACACAGGGTCCTTCCCGCCCCTAATGATCATGGTCTGTTCAAAACTGGTCCTCAAAAGTCAGCAGTCCATTTAGTTTGTTATGAGGGGCTGTTATATCACTAGAGCAAATGGGAACATAATTCCTTGTTCCTTTGGATATTATAGTTCACAGTGGTGCAAGTGACTGTCTGTTTCTTGTGAAGCACTGCACAATTCTCAATGCAAGATGTCAACCTTGCAAGTAAAAAATACAATGCCTGTGTGAGGCCAAACACTTGGCAATGTACACAGTGTTACTTTACCGTAGAGGGCAAGGTGTGGTTCCTTGAGTCTATGTAACACTCTCCCATAGACTATGCATACTCATGAACTGTATCCAAAATGTTACAAACCAACATGAGGTTGAGACCATGAAGGAAATATAGTGGTTATCATATTAGAACTTCAAAATGAAGAGCACAAACAGTCCTAGGCATTTATTGAGGTTTTTTCAATGTGAGCAATGGATATGGGTTGCAAGTGATCATACATCTAATTTACTGAAAGAACAACTTTAGTTTTGAAGAAAAAAACCTCATGGTCTTTCAGGCACCATCCATGTGGTCATCGAAAATTCCAATTTGTATAATTCATCCCAACATTGCTCCATGGACCAGCGTACAATGTTAAACTACTTCCATCCATGGGTTCACATTAAGTTGGGTGCTGTCAATATTACAGTGCCCAAATGTTGATTTCAATAGGTGTTGTCCGTCTATAGGTGTTTGAGGTGTGTTTGAGGTATGTGAAGTAATGTCTGTATACGATATCTTGCTCCTACCTGCTCTTTGATGTCTTGCAGCTGCTGTTGTAACTTGTGCAACTCGCTGTTGGCGTTGTTCATCTTCTGGGGCTTGGCCTGGGTGGCGTTGTTGGATGCCACAGGTGGAGCTGCAAAGGAAGGAAAAGTAGCCACTAAAAAATGCCTCAACATCTGAAGCAACGTAATCACAAACACGGAGACATTAGACATGGAAAGCTCATATTCAGTGCACTATGCTCTCAGTTAGTAACAGCAAACATAAGGTGCATTATTCCAAACTGTTGATAACACTTTAAACTTCTATTGATTTTATACAAATGTTTGAAAGATTGACAACTGATTGTCAGACAGTTATCTCATCCATTTTCAACTTTGAAACAAAACTGACATTTAAATACTCTGCACTGGATTTAGGCAAAATTTATATCTGTGATGTACATATCCTATTACTCTGTGTTGTAATAGGCTGAACCAGTGTTAAATTTACCCTCAGTGGGTCTGTAAGTAGTCTGTACTTTGAACAGTGTATTTTCATTTCTTGAATCACAATCCTACCTTTGCCACCACAGCATACAATGAACGGAATCATCTTGTCAATCTGACATCGGCACTGTACGCACTTCTTCATCAAACTGGCACAACCTGGTTGCATTGGGGAGCAAATAGTGGCTTGGTCAAAAGCAGGGGTCTTTTTGTGAAAGGGAGCGTCAAAAGACAAGGTCCTATGCAATACTGAGCTAGACTCTTACTTCTGGCAATGAATCTAAGAAATGCATCAGACATAACACATGAAGGTGAGAAGTGATGCATTGCTTTCAGACAAAACCTTAATTGAAACAAAACTACTACTGTTTACGTCCTATTTTACCAACAACTTCTTTCTGTCAAAGTTAAAATTATAAAATACGCAAAGCTATGGTTTAAACAAATTTAAAATAATGCATGTGTCAATTTTTAGTGATCTCAACTGAACTCATTTCTGCACCAATCCGGTTTGTAAGTGACTTCGTCCTGCATGCGGACGTGCCACTGATTGCAGGCTCCCATTGAACGAACATTAAAGTTGCACATTAACTTCCAGTTCCATGGTTCCATGTAACTCTTATGTGCAGTAAGTGTGGTTTAATATGAAGTGACATCACACTTACGAACTGGATGGGAATCACATATATTACCCAAAGACTTAAGTAAATAATTTGACATTGCATTATATTCTACTATTCAGGGAACTGCCCCAAGTGTAATGAGAAATAAATTCCGAGGAACCAATTTCAGGATTCACTTTCTTCTTGGGCAATACCGGGAAGCTTATTTGATTACTACCCACTAATGTGAATTGTGCTTCATCCTTACCATCGCAGGCACACATATGACTGCAGGGTTGGAACAGCACGGAAGCCTTCTTGTCTGAACAGACAACACACTCCTCAATCTGTGTTTGATTAAACATGGAGACAAAATATGGCATTTCAGATATTGCAATCTTAAAATTGTTTGTTTACAGTGGTGAAAGCCAAAAAATTGCATAAAATTTGTCTGGTCATGGAATTGTGAAATGTATCAGTTGTAGGCATGTTTTTCATCAGTTCTTGAAAACTCATGGCCTACACGTACTGATATTTTCCAGTTTGGTTTCTGTAAACTTGATTAAATTTTTGGAGGATGAAATTTTTTTTGTCATAAGAGAGATGTGGGAAAGCAACGTTTATCTAACTTGCATTCAACTTCAGTCATATCAGCAAATCTTCTACTTGAAATTGACAATGGTACCCACTGTAGAGTGACATATTTTTTATCTGCAAATTTTTGACAAGAGTATGGTGATGTGAAGTAGTGTTTGACATTTTGAACATGTCGGTACTGCTGTTGATTTGTGGCATACATCACTGACACATGTACCAGTTCATAATGTAATACTAATCCAATAATCTAACCCAGTAAACTTATGATTGAAACAAGTAACTCATGACTTGGAGCTAGGCTTGGACCGATCGGCTTACTTGGTTTTGGACAGTGGCTCTTCTTTCAACTGGTGTAATGATTCTCCCCCTCCTCAGGGCAAGACCACAACTGGTTACCCATCGGTACTAAACCACAAAAGTGTGGGGCTTGGAGGTGAACCAACCATATAAAGAGGAGGAAATGTTTGGAGCCAGTGAAGGGAATTTACCTTTGTCCTAGACTGGACCTGCTCCTTGCATATCAGGCATTTCTTGACCCTAGGAGAGCAGAGGGAGCAGGTGGCAATGTGGCCGCAGGGACCAAACAGCGTGTCCCTCTTCATGTCTGAGCACACCATACACTCCTCGAGAGATTCCTGCTCCATGCAGGAGATCATGCGCAGGTTGGAGTTGACTTGACTGCAGCAGTGGGATCAATCCGAAGAAAAAAATTGAAGTCTTTCAGTTGTTGACATTGTTGGCTCTGCCAACAAAAACTACTTAGAGTACTATGGGACCTACGCATGACACCTGATTAGTGCAAATTTCATGTGTGAATGTGCATGCGGGACTGATTAATGCAGGCCAGCTTGGGTACGTGACTGAAAATGGTTCTAATGTACAAAAGCTGTTAATAGTCAAAAATTCATTTGTCTGATCTTTTTAAGTGTAGTTTGTGCAGATGCAGAATTCAACTTGTAAAATGCTGATCTTTGAACTTAAAATGTCCTAATCTACTTGCATGGTTTCACAAATGTGACTGGATCCCACAAAAGGAGGCTTAAAGCCTTTTTTGTAAAGTAATTTGGTATTAGTTTGCACCAGAAAGAGCAAACTGGGATCTCTGTTTTGTCATCTTCAGAGTGGCATTATTCTGACAATCAATGGCAGTGGAAAATGTTCACAGTTGCTCTTCATTTACACTGTACAAGATTCCTTAAAAAGCCTTCAGCTCAAAAGTGAAATTGCCGACTTGTGGCTCACTGGATCAAAAATAGAGGTGCAACATGTGCCTACCAGTTGCTGTCTGAGTGACACTTGGCCAGGACCCTGCACAAGTTGGGATCAGGGCATAGGTCCATGGGCGATTGACCTTTCTTGTTCTTGGCGTTGAGATCAGCGCCATTGGCTGCCAGGAAGCAGGCGATGGAGGCGCTACTTTTCTTGTCTCCTGATTGGTTGCCGAGGCCCATCAATAGCTGTAATCAGAATTTTTATTGGTGGAAAAACTCAACAAAAAATCTAATATCACAAGCACAAGAGTGTAACAGGTTTTCAAACATCTGATAGCTTTTCTCATTTCGCCATAGACAATCCTCTCCTATAAAACCTGGAACAGATCCCTCTCTCCAAATGATATGTTCTGTTCCATTTACACAAATGGTTAAAATTCAGCAATAGGTTCTGTATCAGCTTTTGCATGGTACACTGTGCGTGTGGAACATTAGATCACAGAAAGAAATGGTTCAGTAGACAATATGTCAGACTCGACGAAAACCAAGAATACTTGACAAAATATGAGAGGGAAAATTTCAATGTCTACATCCCTGCTCTTCCTGTCTCTAAGAAGTCCACTTAGTATTCTGGCTCAAAACGAGGAACTCGGCGGGAATTCATGGACTCTCCATGTATCAAATGAGACAGGTAAAGCCCCACAAGACAATCTCCATCAGTACCATGAAAACCACTAACAACTACTAATACTCGGCATTGATGGAAATTTGATGTCTCAAAAAGCACACTCTATGCTTTTTGTGAAGTTGCGCCTTTGTCATGCACTGTCATGGGTTGATTAACTATTTCAATAGACAGAGTACAATGTAAGCTATATAAATGGACAGCCATCCCATGTGGGGAAATCAAACATTTTCCCAGTTCTTATGGGAGATGGGCTTTTTATTTGGATCTGGGAGTTTCTGCCCTTTACAGGTGTAGTAGTAACACTTCATGTTCAGCGTTTTTCAGGGGCTTATGAAAAAAATTCGCAAGCTTATTACTTGGTTGGGACTTGAACCCACGACCTCCTGCTTAATAGTGTACATATTTTACTACTTTACTACAGGATCAACTGGCCAGTTTAAGTCAATGAGCGGCAGGTACCGTGTCAAACTGTTAAGATGTGTTTTGTGTCTGGAGATGTCAATTTTTAGATTGGGAGCAGGAGGTTGTAGGTTCCAGTCCCACCTCAGTACATTTATGAATTATTTCACAAGCCCCGGCACAACACAGAGTACACTGCATTATCAAGATGTATGTTGGTGAAGGGAAAAAACTTCCAAAGTAAATATTTACATCTCCCAGTGCAGCACCACCTCTTGTAAACCATTATCATTAAACCATTTTATTTAACTTCATTTTGGCAAGAGCTAGAATTTTTGGGGCAGAGGGAGAACCCACCTTGCCAACATCTTGCATGTCCTGCAGCTGGCGTAGTTGTGACAGTGTGTGGTGGCGCAGCGCTTCATGTAGTGGTGTATCGCCATCCTTGTCCGGGATGTCCAACTTGGCACCAGCCCTCACCATCAACTAAACACACACGAAGAGGAGAACAAAACGAAACAAAGAAAACCCTGTAATCAATTTATCCTATATTATCTTCCACTTTATTTAATAATTGCTGTTATGTTAATGATGATGTTTGCCTTTCACAGCACTAATATGGCAACCGCAGCCACAATGTCTCGATTCAAAGAAATCTCATCTGTGAGAGACTGCACTAAGCAGAAGCAGTGCTATTTTTAGAAAGTAAATTGCAAGCTAGGAAATGAAATCTTGCTCCTTCAATTTTTATTATTAATGAGAAAAAACAGGAAAGAACATTTTCCAGGCATTGCTTGATTTCAGATTATTGCATACTGAATCTGCAACTGCCAAAGTTATGTCTAAACAGGCAACCACGTAAAGTCTTTTCTGTGAGTTTGGTATTTTGAATGACTTGTAAAATATACTCAACTTGCCTTTCCAATAACCCTGCCATATAAATTGTAAAATGTAAGTGCTCATAAATTTTCATAAATGTCATGGGAAAATATATAGAAGAATCATTCTCAAATTTGATTTGACCAGAAAAACAAGCCCTCAAATGCCAGCAAAATTGCATCTTTCTGATAAGGCATTTCGTAGTTTCTTCTTATCAAACCAGATGGCATCACATTATGCTGTTTAAATGTCAATGAGAAATGACATTTTATTCTTGCTACCACTGGCATCGCTGGCATTCTCAAAATAACACTATGGGGATCAATGAGAAATCACGACCAAGAAAAAAAAATATCATATTGTCTCCATCTGTGAAGGATATGCCTCAGATATTTCCTTGCTGAGGACAAAATATTTGTCTGGCTGACAAACCTGGGCCTATTGTATTTTAAAGTCCAACAGAAAAGAGCGCTTTTGTGGGGGAGGCATTATCATGTTTTATTCATGTTCAATTCCTCTGCAGATGTCTTGAACATATGGATTTGATTTTGCTCTCAATTTACCATAACTGAATGATGGAGGAGGGGGGGTCATTTCTGCCAGAAAAGGAAATGTATCAACCACAAACTACAGATAACATATACATCAAATATAGCTCCCATTAGAACATGGTCAGTTGTGTAAGCTTTATTTGAGAGCAGACAAGCTGTGATTGTCTTGTGAAGAACTAAAAATGCCAACTAGAAATAATAACAGCATATTCTAATGCCTTGCCAACTCTTATGAAAATAACAAAACATACATATATATACATAATGGTCATCATGGAAAATGAGCAAGATGGCAATCCCAACCTCAAACCCAACCCCAAACCTAACCCCAACCCCAAACCTAACCCTAACCCCAACCCCAACCCAACCAAATAAAAAACAAAACCAATGCCCCAAAACTTCTTCTGGAAAACAAAAGTGTGGACTGTTTTTGCTGATGTCAGGTTAACAAAATACAAATACTGTTTACAAGCTGAACAACCATTCTCAGCCAGACGTGCAGAGTGAGCCCTCTAGTGGCTAACCAATTCAGGCTGGCATGACAGAAAAAGCAATGATCATAAACTATTTACCAATCTGATCAATGATTTATTGTATGTAACAAGCTTGAAAAAGTCTGCTGCAGTTTAATAAATGTGAGTTACCATGACCAGTATCTCTGGAAATTATCTTCCAATTTAAAAAACCTTCAGTTTCTAATAAAAGTTGTTGATGAATTTCATAAGGTATAACAAAGGCATAACTTTGATACCATTAACATGAATGCAGCCATGTACTAAAGTGGCCATCTTTTCTATCAATATTTGTGATTTATATCAGTAGTCTCTTTTTTTCAGACAAACTGTCCTTAGAACTCTCTTTTTTGATACAGTTGCATTTAGAACTAAAATATCTTGGTAAATCCTTGCACTACTATTCCTTCTCAACTTAGTGAGGGATTTATGACTTAAAAGATTTGTGAACAATTGCATTGAAATTTCATCACAGCTTTGCAAATTACTGTGCTAGGCCAAAACATATTGGTGGGGAAACCACTCACAAAAATATAAGGATTGCATTACACTAAGGCCAGTAAACAGTTGTCGGTGAGCAAGTCATTTCAGCACAGAAAATATAGCGCTTTTAACTGCACAAAGAAATTTCCATGCACATGCGAGGACTTGACTTGTGCAGATTAACAACTCTTCACTTTATCACTTCCAGGGTAGCTGTGGAAATGCCCCATCCTATCAAACTCACCCTAACAATCTGAGTGTGCTGTCTCTCAACGGCGAGGTGTAGAGCCGTCTGCTGATTGACGTTCTGGATGTCCAAGTTGGCATGACCCTACATGTGCAACACACAATCAAGGAATTACTCTTTCAAATAACTAAAGTTGACAAAAACTGATCCCAAAATACACAGGCTCCCCAGAAGCCCCCCCCCAGTTACACGACTGTTCATACCATTTGGGTGCAAGTGTACACCCACTGGGTAGTGGCTCCATATTTTGGCTGCTAGGTTAACTCATACAAATATGATACAACAAAGCGCATATCGGCTGCTGTGACGTGTGACAGGTCTTTGTTTTAACCTCGTCATCCACCAGGTGTTCAAACAATCTCCCGTAACAGCGGTCAACTACAGTACGTCAAATGACACTTCCTGAGTCTTGCAATTACCTGGTTGACAAGCAGCTCAGCTACCTCTACATGGTTGTTCAGAGCAGCCAGGTGCAAGGCTGTGTAGCCATCGTCCTTCTTCTCATCAACAATCCAAGGTCGGGGAAGACAGCTCAACAAAACCTTCATGGCGCTACAATAGCAAGACAAGAAAATAAAAAACAGCCAACAAGTTAGATGGTGAAAACGTTGATCCCAAGCAATAAGGGCAAATACGAAGACTCCTTCTTCTGATGGTGTAGGGGGTTGTTAGAGTTGGATAACACCACCTTGTGACAATCTATGATGATGCACTAACACTTGGGTGCGTTCTTGCATAGAATGGACACAGAGCCATATTTACGTTTCACTTTTGTCAACATAACTTAGTGAGGATTAAGCAGTACAGTACAAAATGCCTCTGACTGAGTTGGGAATTCATGTCCAAATCCCACAGATGCCCTCTTAAAAATGTATTTCAAACAAAAGGAGAACTAAGGGCTATCCAAAGCTACTGGCAAAGCAGCAACGGGGACTAAATACGTGTTGAATGATAGTTACAGTGGCGACACACTCATAACGGGGACAAATTTCTGTGCTCCCAACTTGATCCCGAATTGGCAAAAGAAGCTGTCAACTTGATGAAGGGCCCAGGCATAATCACGGGTGTGTTGATGTGTGTAAACTAGGTCAAAGCTGTCCTTGTGGTCAAGGAATTCAGCTGTATCCTGCCTTCATAATGAGAGCGAGTGCTGCTAAGGATACGGCGTCAGTGTGACTTACTGCGTATAAGAGCTTAACTCCATTTCCAAGTTGCCCAAGTACAGAGTACAAAAATAAGTAACAGAAATTCCAGTCGGAGGTCTGCTAGAGATCTCAGAACGCCTATCTCAGAACGCCTCTCCCTGTTGCTGCTATTTTCAACAATAGGGGTTAATCAAATCCAGGAACTGCAGGCGTTTATCTTAAGAAGCCAAATGCTTTCCTTGAAGGTTGGAATATCCTACAGGTAGGGAGAAATAATTAATTTATCCCGGGCCTGGCAATAACTGGATCCATACCCATGACAAACCATACCTTAATCAGTGCAACCCACACAGGAAGTTAAGAACCAAAGTTGAACCTATCTTAAAGTACAGTAAATTGTTTCCATGTATAGGCCACACCCCAAACTTGCAGTGGAGTACTTTCCGAGTACCAAGTTCACTACCAAATATAAAGATTTTTTGGTGCAATTAAAGCTGCACAGTGCTTAAAGATATTACAGTCTTTGCACAATCAGAATCTTTTACAAACTAAACTTGAGGGACCAAAGTCTTGAAGGATACTCCACGGTTCTTCTTCAATACATACTTCTAATACAAACTTTAATGAGCATTGTTTATGTATATGAAATCTGAGGTATTTGATTTCCCTTCCAACACTGACTTCATTAAGGAAATTCTGACATTGAGCTAGCAATGATGTTGGTGCTGAAAAAATTCTCAGTAAATACTCCATCACAATCCTGCCGCTCCCGTGACTATTTAGTGAGGCTAAAAAATGAATACCTCTGTACTACATTATTTCACATAGTGTAGAGTAGGCAGGTACTGAGACATGAAATGAAGGGGCAGCTACATATTGAGAGATGTCTTAGCAAAGCATATGTGGCAGGCCGCACGCTCCATAATGGACTCTGAGATTGAAAGACAGGCCTGGAAATCAGAGGCTGTTGGTGTTGGAACTGCTGGGAGAGCTGTGTGCTGTGCTGAGGACTAGGAGAACCTTAGTGAGGACACTGATTAACTGGTCTGTGCACCTCAACGTCACAGTTTGAGACTCTAGTGTCTTAATGAGTTTGCTGCTCATTTGCACATTTCAGTATGGCAGTAATACAGCTCTCTGCAGACAATGACAGACAATGGCCTGGAATCAATGTCATTTTCAAATTTTCACCTCTAGAGGGCCGTAACTGCACACACAGCAAAGACCCAATAATTCTATTTCTCCTTTGAACATGACCTAACACTCCTGAATCATCATGGCTGTGTTTGAGGTTTGAGTATGTTACTTATGTTGACATGTTACTCAAGTATAATCCCGAGCAAATGAATGGCAGGAGTACAGCAATGAGTAAGAGAGAATATTCCCAATCACACTGGGAGTATATACCCTTGCACCATGTAGTTATTTCAAGATGGCAGACAGGTAACAGTTGGCGGTTTGCATGATGTGATTTTGAGAGTAATGCCAACACAACATTTTCCAGCACCTGCGAGTATTGAGATTAACACACAAGAATGCAGCCCTAATTTCAACAGACTTTTTCCCACAAACCCTAGAGGGCAGGCATTATCACATGATGCAACCAAATACAATGCTGTTCATGATGGTCACTGTGGCACATGATAGTCTCCATATTATTTGATCAAGGTGGAATGCCAAGTCATGTATTCTAAGAACACACAAAATGCTGTGAACTATACCCGACTTAAATAATACCCCCCCCCAAAAAAGCAAAAGTAAATCATACAAAAAACTAACCCCATTAAAAATTGAGGAAAAAATAACTGGACAAAGTCAACCTCCAAACCCCATCTATTCCAAATTCTGGCTAAACTGGTACAGACCAGAATGCCTTATGGGTGCAGTGTCCCAATTCAAGGGAAATTCTCTGCCAGGCCGAGGCGCACAAAAAGTACCCCCAGAGATTGTTTCGAAAAGAGGGGTCTGTTTGGGCAAAGAAATGGTGGGATTGTGTCAGTATGGCCCAGGATCATCTCTGTAGATTTAGGGGCACCCATCTGGGGGCAAAGCAGACAAAAATGGGATTGAAAATTAGTCAGAAGAGCCTGAGGAAAGTGAGGGATGTCACTTGAAAAATGGCTGCTGAGAAGACTTGGGAACATTCATTTTTTTGGGGGGGGTGAGTTTGTTTTTTGCAGATATTAAAAAAATTCATTGGTTAACCTACTAAAATTTGAAAATCAAATGAAATCTGAAGGACCAAACAACACATTGTTTTTTGTTTGAGAGGCCTCAGGGACTTCAGCTGCCTGCCATGGGGCTCCAAACTTTGTTGATTTCAAACTGTTTTCAATGGAGCTTAAATTGGTTCAATGCACCCTTTAAACACAACGTTCCCTTCTCACCATCATGCAATACCGTGGCTGGCAACTGGCCAAGGTCAATTTGCGCGAATAATCATGAAGAATGATATCAACATTGACATCCCAGTTTCTCATTTGGAGGGGATGATGCAGGAGATGCTACAGATGCTCCTCGGATGATGAGAAGAGAAGGGGGGGACAACCAAACCCCATGAGGTACAGCTCTAGCTGGTTCACCCTCATATGCTATTTGATTTTTCAGCACAGTCAAATCTCTCAGCCGTTTGTGCTCATTTTTTTTGAACAATAATGAGATGTGTAAGTCCCAAAGCATAATTTGAGAACATTGAAAGCCACACTAATTTTCTGAACACAGTTTTTCATGACACAAGATGAAAACCCTTCGTAGTTCCACAATAAATTGGGGCCAAAAGGAAAAGCTAAAAAATTTGCTTCAATATCAAGAAGCAATTTTTGACACGTATCTGATGTTTCATTTAATTTAGGCACTCTTTGTCCAGAAATATAGAGCGATATCCAATATCCTAATTGAAAGATTATGAACATGCATCAATTACATTTATGGGTTTGCAATTTAACATCTTGAACTGTAAACCAATGAAATACATGAGAAATAACTTCAGCTACATAATTTGTCTCTGTTTGGACAAGTGTGTGCTGACTTTCTTTGTAAACTGTGTTACATATCAATGTACACATTCAGAATGGCTTTGAAACTACTATTGCATTCAAAGCGTGCATTGGAATATCTACCAATAAACAATCTATAATTTGAAACGGTGATTATCAATCTTATTTTCCTTATGTACATAAATATTTAAATCTTGTGAAAAACAGGTAAAAGAGAATTATAAAAACAGAGCTTCATAACGCACTTGCAACATTTATTTTCCATGTAATTACTTTGTCTTTCAATTTCATATAGATCAAGGCAGGTTTATCCCCTTAAGGAAAAAAAAAAGATGAAAATCTCTTGCTATTATGTCCTCAGATGACACTGGTAATTGAAAGATTAATATGAAAAAATTTACACTAAAAAGTCCAAATGAAACAAATGCACACACAAAACAAGATGGGGCTGCATTTATCAGCTCCAAGAGTTTTTCTGATGATAGTTGCTGTATACTGGAGGCTTTTCAAAGAAAATTAAAAATGCTAAAATAAAATGTACGTAGAAGCTGCATACAATGATTTTGAAAACTGTGGAGTGGATGGTAAGTGTTAATGAAAAACAAAATGGATGGCGTAAATGCAATTTGTACATTCATAAAAGAAAAAAAAAAAACAGACCTTTGAATTGAAAAGTCCAGCAGAAGACACTTAAGGCCTTGACCTTCCATTTGCTAAGATGTACAATAGCGACCAGTATATCTCAAATGCAAACATGATTAGATTACTGAGTGGATGGCTAGTGACAGCTTACAAAAGGGCCTGGTTCACAGCACTGATGGTGCACATACACGCACAATGTCTCGCATAATACAAGACTGGGCCTCATTGTAGTTGGATAATGCACCATTGAGTTTGCAAAGATGCCATTTACATTGAGAATGTCACGAGATGTTGGCAATGTTGGCAGTGAAATGTTCTTCGAGGCTTACAAACTTATGTTCAAATCTTGTGACTCTTGGCTACGTTCAGCAAGACTCGGTGGTAAATTTATTAATTTATATTTTACATTACAGTCAAAGACAAGACAATGCAAGTTTCTATGAGATTATACAGAGGATCAAATTCCACTTTAGAAGGCCAGGGTTCATGTGTCATGCACATTATGACATTGCCACCATAAAATGTGAAAAAAAACGCTCTCACAAAATATCAAGTTTTCAACATAGGGTGCTGTAAAATCTCCAAAATTGTTAAATTATCAAGAAGTTAAAGATGACCACAATGGCAAAAATTATAGGAAAAGCTAAAACTTAATGATGCATAAAGTACAGATGTCTCTAAGATCATGCCAAATTTTAGTGAAATCTGTCATCTGTCAGCTGCGGAACACATATTTCTCTTTCTATAAATGGTGAACATATTCAATCTA